TATCGGACTACATGCAATTCGACCTATGTCCTGTAAATGTCTTATAAAATTGCTGTCCTCATTCCAAATCATATATCGAAGCTCTTCTCAAGTTGAAGAAAACGGGATTTTATGGCTCATCACCATGAAAGATATATATGTTGCCGTTTTTACGCACCGCACTTGCGTCCTAAATCGCTGATCAGTACTAGATACGCAATCGATCTCAGGATATATTATTTGTACCGTATAATCAAAGAAACCGGTTATTCCGAATATCCTGGTCAGCTTGGTTTTCATCTTACACCCTAGACTATGTACACCCTGACAGTAGTCCATGTGCCTAGACGAGACATGAACAGAGCATGGAATTTTAAAAGTTTGCATTTTCTTCTGCCATATAAAGTTGGTTTATGGACGGCCAGAAATACCATAAGAAAATTGTGACCCATAGAATATTTACTTAGCAGTTTGTTATTCTCTTGTCTTTACATCGGCAGCTTACACGTTCAAACATAACTAAAACAGCCACGCATAAATATACTTGACCCATTCCTAGAATATCGCGATTTACGAACACATAGGAGAGGTCATAGCTAAGCATTATTTGACGTTCTCAAAATTATAGAAAGCATGACGTCATTATACACTGCAGTTGAGACACATGGCCCAATTAGTAAATAAAATAGGATTCGCAATTGTATTAAGCTATCGGGTGAGAGCCCATCGATTACTTCTGTTTAATGTGTTTCAGGTATCACACAAATTGGCTTTTCAGTTATAGAATCTACAGCTCGATGAACATGAAGAGATCACAAAGTACCCAAACTTCCCTTACGCGGCAGAACAAAATACTGTCTGATAACAGTTGTCTTTCCCTGAACGATTACTCATGTTTGTTAACGCGGTCAATCGCTACAGCTCAAGCGTTTCCTTGTTGTTAATTTTATTTTAAGCAAAAAAAAGGAAGGAATGCTAAAATCGCTCTCTCCATTCATTTCTGTGTGTTACGAAGCACATGGGATTTGACGTATTCCGTACACCACTTTTTTTTTAGTGGCAGCCTAAAAAAAACTGAACGAGCTGGGCTTAAGAAGTAGTAATAAAGGGGTCATCAAGGGAGAAAGGAGTTTGATAGAGAGCGACAGGGAGAAGAGGAGGACCGCTCGGGTCTTCATTTCTACAGGTATATATCTTATCTTGTTATTCCTTTTGCTCTTTTGGAAACATCCATCCACTTACTACAGGTAAGCGCTGCATATATAAATTTATATTTCTACACGCAAGCTCGCCCGAATACCTTTCTCCCCGATACTATCCCACCCCTTTTTTACGCTCCTTTTTTCTGATTCCGCCTGCAACATCACTTTCTTTTCTCTCTTTTCATCTTTCTTCTACTATTAAAAATAAGCTTGTAGTACTTTAAAGAGCTTAGTGAGAGAAAAGGTTAGCGAAGTTGAGACTCATAGTAACGAGAAATTGTTGCTGAGTTAATCGATCTCATGAAATCAAGGCAAAGAAAAAGAAACAGGAAGCGACTCCAGTCCTCTCAACGCATCCCCACAACAATCCTTTCTCTCTGTTCGATCGATCTGTTTCCTTCCTACAACAACAATGCGATTCACCATCTTTTACCTTGCAGTCTTTTTACTTTTTACCACTGCCAAGGCCGATCTGCAGCGTATCCCCCTTTATCGTCGCACTAATTCAAAAAGTGTGGTGACAACTGAAGGACATCAGCTCGACAGTGGTGTTCTGGCAGGCAAAGTTACCATAGGCACGCCGCCCCGAGAATTTACCATGGCTTTTGATACCACAACTAGCTATTCTTGGGTCCGCGGCTACCGCTGCAAGTCCGAGAACTGCCGGGGACGTCGTTCCTACTACACACGCCGCTCTGAGACTGCTGAGCCGGCTCATAAGAAACTCTCCGTTGAATATGGCGATTCATGTGTAGACACTAAACTTTATTACGACGACTTCGAAGTCAACGGAATTCCAGTCGGACACATGCCCTTTGGAGTGGCCTATCGAATGAGCGGCTTCGATGATGGCTTTGATGGCTATTTAGGCCTCGGCATCGACGGCGACTTGAGTTCTTGGGATGAGTCCCATAAGCTCTATGCGGGTTCCTCAAAACTTCTGCGCCGTGCATCAGTGATCGCATCGCTGGCATTTGTCACCAACGCATATGTTGAGGGATCCATTGATAGCGCTCAGTTTGGTATGGTCACCACGTCTTCTACATCCAGAGGCTTTTCGCAGTCTGGATCCTCATCGACGCCTCCTGAAAATGACAGCCCAAGCGACAGCAATAATGGTAACAGGCACAGCAACTCAACGAAATCAAAGACTGCACCTACCACTACCTCGACGGTGGGATCTGGAACGTTTGCAACGCAAATAGCCACCACCTCAACACTCATGGGGTTTCCGACAACCCAGCCGTCCTTATCAATCAATCCAACTATATCAGGTGGCTTCGGCTTTATAAAGCGTACTATCTCAGAACCAGACGGCTATCTGATCATTGGTAACTTTTCATGTTGTATTTTTTCTCAACCGTAGTTTCTAATGCATTGTCCACCCTCGGGCGAGGATGGTTATTTAGGTGGAGTAGATAAGAGTCTTATCGATGGCGATATCGAGTACATCCCTTTGGCCGACCCTGTTAAGGGTTCCTCACGCAACTGGGACGTATGCATCCGTGACGCCAATTTTGAACATGCACTGAATATCCGGCAAAAAGAAAATGCTATTGCTGCCATCAGCACCTCATATGGCTATATCACTATGCCATCCGATCAAGGTATGACAACTAATCCATCATAGAGCGGTATGAGCATGTATTGAATGAAATCTAATATCATTCAAAAATTGCAATCATCAGCCGACCAATTTCAGACGGTGTTTGGTTTGAAGTACTACGAAAATACACAAACTTATGGGATCAAATGCTCTGAGGTCAAATACCTACCTACACTCAAACTTACCCTTGAGAACCACATTGTTGAACTCCCGCCCAAATACTGGATTCGTGTGATCGACGCTGAACGTAACTGCTGCGGCACTCGCATTCGACGAGGTCACTCCACACGCGATTGGATCCTAGGTACACCATTTACCAACGCCTTTTATACGACATTTGATCCCGCATCAAAGGCCATTGGTCTTGGTATTAAGAAAGGCCAAGAAGACGATGGTCTGGCTGTCTATCAAAAATCACACTGATCACTACTTCAAGCCACCCTGAAATCATCCCGCTCCCTCCCCACTCCCAGATATTCTTTTTTTACTCTCTAAACTCAATGCAAGAAAAAAATCATTGATTCCCCGACCATGAGCCAGATACTCTCTTATACAACTAAAATACATTCGATTTTAGTGTTGTTTCTGCATTTTCTCCAATCATTCCTCCCCTTATCCGGACAGACACGCATGGCACAAGGTGCTTTAGGCATAGGGTGAGACTCATTACACTATGTGTGTAACGTATGCCCCCCTGAGGTCCGCCTAACTTCGGTTCGTCACCCCCGTAAGTGCGGTCTACAGTACTGGTTCTTTTGGTCACTGAGGACTTAGAACGCAGAATATAAAAATGTGTGCAGGTGTTGTATCGCCCATGGTTACATAAAGTGACACAGATATGCCTATCAACATGATAGTGGATTTGTATGTCTGTTATACCGATGGGAAGACCATTCATTCAGCCGCCCTAGGGTCTCACTAGCATGCTCATCGCGCATAGGATATATCTGCGCCCCTTTGGTTCTATCCGGTGTGTACTGGTCATGGACTTTGGATGATATTCATTCAGACGTTGACCAAACCTGCTAAAGCTGAATAGCCCCCCCTACTTGCCCAAGTAATATCCAACGTTCATTGTGAACGTACTGGTAGACCCAAGGCACGATTGTCTTATTTAGAATTATGGAGCGGCCAGCATTGCGGTTAAACTCTGAGATTCTGTACAATGGCGATCAAGATCATATGTATCCATTCTTGTATGCAAAGCCTATATCTAGTGGGAATTTTCTCCCTGAAAGGTCATACCTTACTCGACATAATGAGCCTACAGCTTTAGATGAGCCTATTAATCGCGTAAGTCTCATTATCCATGCAGGTGAGGCTGACGATCGGTATTACCGATCCTTTGGTTTTTCAAAAACACGGGTTGGAGAGCAATACAGCTCAAATTAAAGCGGGAAGAGACAAATCTATCGTTAGGATTGGTCTTCTTGACCGGTCGTGTCGTATTGGTGTCTGCGATGGAGGTGAGAATCTCTGTTACGACACAATGATCACGTGGCCTCCATCGCAGCAAATAGTCGGAGATCACAGAAACACTTCCTGATGCGCAGCACCCTTTTGCTGCAGCCGCTTAGCGTAATAGACAATAGTATAAATAGAGGCCCGTTATGATTATTAAACATCAACATATATCTTCTCTACTTTTGGTACGCCTGTGTGGCTATTTCATGTCGTAGTTCCCGCTCTGCCTAATACAGGATTTTTAAGAAGTTTGCCAAAAAATTTGGTTATTGATATAGACCGTCTAGGTTTTTCGTTTTCAAATTTTAGTATTTCGCTTCTCTTCTTTCTTTGAAATTTGAATGAAACATAAAGGTTTAGCCTCCCTAAACTATTCTGGTGTAAAAAGAAACTAAGGAAGAATTAGCTATAGCCTTAACTGAAACTTCTTGCTGCTATTGCCTTTAAATTTTGACAAAGAGATAGCAACGAAATACTAAAATTTGTATTCGAATTTGAAGCAAAAAAAAACGAAAAACCTAGATGGTCTATACCAATAACCAAATTTTGTGGCAAACTTCTTCTTGAAAATCCTGTATATTCTCTGTGGTGATCCTATCCTTTGTGGTTCTCTTCGTGGCCTTCGTCAACCTTCCTTCGCGACATCCAAAAAGACGACAAAAAAAAAAAAGACAACGACACCTAACAAAAAGTAAGGTCCTCCATTAAACCTTATTTCATAGCATGAAATAAGCAGGATTAAAACCTCAAGCCCCTGCTGGGGGTCGAACCCAGAGCCTTCGGATTAGAAGTCCGATGCGCTATCCAATTACGCCACAAGGGCTCCTATTGTTTAGGATATATATCTATATATTACATCAGTACATTCATGTCGTGGCGTATTTTGCACTAATGAGCACAGGAATTGTAGCAGATTTTTTAACCTGTATGCCAGGCTACAACATGCAATGCTTCAAAATAAAAACGCACCCGTATAGCTCAATCTGAAATTGAGAGAAGGGTTACATCAGTTTGAATTTAAAACAACAACTTCGTTCATTTAGCTTTAATCCCTGACAGGGAAATCGGTCGACCTGATTGCAGTGTGTGCGATGTCGTCATACATAATGATGTGCAGATAGTGTGACATGCTTTTTAACCTCACTGCGTTAGCGATTAATCCAGAGAGGGATGGCGATTTGTAATGATGCAACTATGTCCTCTGAGTGGCATTTCCCTATAACGCGATTGCTGTCTGCTGCATCTGGAAAATGCAGTATCATGTATCATGGCTGGCAATGATTTATGAACTCTCCTGCTCAAAATTTGTTGTTTCCCGGTTGTCCAGCATATAAATTTACAGCATTCTTCTGTTTCTCCCTCTGTGGGTGGCCCAAGAAGCTTTAATAGTCTTGCTACCTATGAGAACGCAAAACACCAGACATTCCAAGAAGTTGCTATTACCCTCACAGAAAAGATCTGGGTCATATCAACTGGAGAGGCGGCTTTAAGCTTGCTGTCACCCACATTCTTATGCAAGAGGATATACATATTGTAGAAAATTCCCAAAATTGAATGAAGTATAAAGCAGAGGGTTGAGGTCGGAACCGAGTATGCCACCATGCTTATGTCAACCAGCTCAGATACCAAGCGTAGAAAGCCTACGCTGGCTGACCAACCTCGAATTCTTACGGAAACCATAAGCACGCAGCAAATTTTTTTTGTCTGTTTCGCATCGCCAATGCCGCAGTCTACAACGAAATGATGCACTATCCCTGTGCCTTTTAACCTGGGGTTAGAAGCCCTTGCTTTTGTCATAGACACCGCTTTCTTATTCCAAGCCTTACGTTCCGCACCGACCATACGCTGCAATCTTTGCAATGTTCTTTCAACATCCCATCCGTCAACGGTATTGGGGTTTTTCTCTCTTCTCCTTCCAAACTGGCTCCAGCTCTTGTATTTTGTCGGCTTCCGCGGTTAGGTTGCTGTGTAATTTTAACCCCAATAAGGTCCAGCCGATTGCATTTTGATATCTGGAGATATCTATGACGGTTGACTGGCCTTCCTTCCAGATTATGGCGCTAAACAATGGCATGACATTCCTCGACGGTGACCACCATTTATTCGTGCTATCTCCTCACTTGCAGCAGTACTCAGCTTGATGGGTTCCTAAAACAATCCCTCGCTAACACAGCGTCGTGCTCATCGTTTATCACGTCGAAATCTTTCACTTTCTGACCACAACCTAATGGCGAATACTACTCTTGCTGAGACGTATTTGGCATGTCATTATAATAGTGCCCATCGCCAAGACCTTCCTCTTCAAACTGCTGTTCATCAGCAAATTTTTGACATATACATCTTTTGCCTCAATCTGATTTGTGATGCGCCACATCCTCGACAAGAAAGCAACTGGGAAGTTCTCGAATCTGTCACGCAGCAGGATGCCCTATGCCTGTAGTGGATACCGGCTCTCCCCTATGCAGGTGAACAACCGCAATGTTCATTTATTAGTCCCAACTGCCCTCTCTACTGGTGGCCCTCGCCAATAGGCTGCAGCCCTAGTGCGCGAGTCTTTGTTTTCAGTGCCTGTCATTTCTACCCCATACTGCTGTCACCTCAAAGGCCGCATCGTCTAGCACTTTTTGTTATTACCAATGCTCATCCATGCGCCATTACACATTCTTTCCGAAGGTTTTTCTCGCCCATCACAGAGTCATCCCCATGAAACTGCCAAGCTCGCAGCTGCACAGTCGGTCTTTGATTACATGCAGGTCATCTGTCCAAAGGTCGATCGAAGTACAGTATAAGCAAGAGATTCACGCGGCATAACAATGACCTCTTGGTGCGCTCCGTTTCCACATCATACACTCACTACCCTTTTGCGTCGTCACTCACAGCTCATGCCCTCGATTTTCCATAACCTCACATGAGTGCTTTGTTATAAACCGAGGGACAATTTCCTGTAGTCCTATCTGGGCCAAACTGCAAGTATGGGAACCATTGCTGCCCAGACCCTACGTGGCCTGCGTCCTTAATTGTGTTAGATTGGAGCATCTACGCCACCAGTAATCACAGTGTATGCGTTTGGTATTACCTTCGTCAGCGAGGCTTCCTGGCCTGATGATATTGCTGAGCCAGATACTCGACTGCTTAGACTTCAAGAAAAAGGACGTGCACTTTAATATTGTGATCTTCTTATATTCGCTATTTATGCCCGATATATTTCCTTTCGTGCAACTGCGATATTAGAATGGATACTATCCTCTACAAGAAATTCCTTACGTTAGCTAAAAAAAGAGAGAAATCTCTTCTGCTAATACATTTGATACTGACATAGTTGAGGCACAGAAATGGTTTTCTCTTCTGAAAATGAGGCCATCTTATCTTTAATAGTAAGGTCCCCACCTCTTGCAACAAGACCATCTTTTCTTCTGCACACCATCAATCACTGCCTTATAAATATGAAAACTCTGTATACCAAACATCGACAATTTTCTACAGTGAATACTAGGCTCTCATTATTATGTGTCACATGAGAGGACCTCTGGAAGGAATTATGTAGTTGAATATATCTGTTGGGTGCTGAACCGCAAGTCACAAGTTAGACGTTCATCATGGCAATAGGCTCCTGCAGTTGTAAGTCCAGTTATCGGCCAAGCGCCTCCCATATCTTCGATCACCACGTCATATCTGATCCAAGTCACTCTGATAAGATTCATGAGCGAGAAACACACTCTGATATTTAAGACCAATGGACCCAATGAACCGTTTTAATTGCTATATGGTCTTTGGGATGTTTTCCGATTGTACATACAGAGGAATTGTGCTGGATTTCATTTTTTTACGCTCTCTCAATGCAATACTAGTACCTGGCTATCACCGCTTCAGATGAGATGCAACATACCTACGCCCTTATTATTCAAGACGCTCTTATGTGACCCGGATATAGCGAAATTGTTATGTCCGCAGCAATCTTAATTTGACGAAAGAAAAAAAACTGGCTAGAATCTCCAAGTTCAAAGGAGAGCACTAATTGGCAGAGAAAATGAGTGTCACCTATATTCTGATGGGTCAATGTGGTGGTAGTATCATTCAGCACCGGTGCTATGGTGCATGGCTTCTAAAAATACTTTGATTGAAAGGTTCCACTCAGTGCAGGCGTGAAGAAAACGGTCACACCGTGTGGGCTACAAAGGCGCACACGTGTACGACGGAGAGTAGTCCGTCGTTTTTTTGAACTTGCAACCATAAGAGAAATGAACGGCCAAAACTACATTGGATCAAAAATTTCGGCACGTCGTAACATCAATACCGGAAAGCTATCAAAAAGCTGCTAAATAATGCCCGTTTAGCTTATCAGCAATAGTGACATTCGTTATGTTGGACGTCTCCACAGCTTAAACGCCGAAGAATCAACGGTCGCATTAGAACAGGGTAAGCTGAAATAAATCATAAAGATATCCGTCAGCATCTCACGCACTGTCTGTTAAAGTGCGATCGTTTGGCACTGAAGGCCGCCGTGGAAAGCCTGAAGAAGAAATTCCTCCATCAGACAATGTATTTGACTTTGTAATGTTCCGTGGTTCCGACATCAAGGATCTCCAAGTCCATGAAGGTCCCGCGAAACCAGCACCTCCGCCACCACCACCTAACATTCCTAATGATCCCGCCATCTTGGTATGTTCAGCTTTGATAATCTCTACTATGCCCTTGTAGGACTGACATCTTCTCATAGCAGAGCTCCATGATGAAGAGCTATGGGGGCATGAACCCATACATGACCCCGTACCCACAATACTGGAATACCCCGTCAGCTGTGTATCCAGTTCCCATGCATATGGGACCTAGTGCACATATTCACTCGTCTCCAGCAGCCACGGTTCATGGTTCTACCGCCGGTGCTTCGCGTGCGCACCACCTTAACCCCCCAGTAGAAATACCAAGCGGCCCGTCGCTGCGTGGCCGCCCTGTACCCGAGGCTACCGTTGGTTCTTCGGCCCGTATTATTCCTGAATCTCTACCTCTCAGCACGAATGGTGTAGTCGCGAACGATCTTGCTACTGCGTCCGTTCATAGGGCTCCCGTTCGTGCCACGGCGGCAACCATTCCTCATTCTTCCCCAGTGGCAGACCGCGAGGTCGTGTTTAATGCCGAAGCATCTAATGCAGAACTCGAAGAAAGTACCATTGACGATGCAGTCGACCGATTGGGCAAAAAAATAAAAAATTTGGATGTGGAGAGCGAGAAGAACGTTCAAGAAGACGACGCGCGATCCGGCCAGCAGCAGCAAGTACAGCAAAATCGTGGTCGCCGGTTCAACAGTAACGGACAGAGTAGCAATAATACACGTGGGAGTGGTAGCGGACGTGGCGGACGCCAGGACCACCGAGGCGCTTCCTTTGAGGTGCCTAAGTCTGATTTTGATTTTGAGTCGTCAAATGCGAAATTCAACAAGGATGAAATTGTCAAGGAAGTGACCCGAAAGGTGAACGATGAAGAAGAGGAGGAAATTATTGATACTCGAGAAGAAGAACAAGAGGTTGTTATTCCACCCCCAACCGATGAGCCATATTATGACAAGGTAAAGGATAAAGCGGTTAACCCATGGGGAAAAAGCAAGAATCTGATTCAGGCATTCTTTCGTCTGCAGGAAAAGAGCTTCTTCGATAACATCTCATGCGAATCCAAGGAGCGCAATGAGCAAAGTATCGAGTGAGTATCCTCTGAGAGTGGATTTGATGAGAACAGACATGTTAATTTGTGAGCACAGTGGTGTTGATCGCCGGGCCAAATTCCACGAGGAGCGCAAGCTCAACTTGGAGACATTTGGTGAAGTCTCTG